TTTTTTTTTTTTTTTTTTTTTTTTTTTTTTTTCTATTTTATTTCTATCTTCTTTTTTTTTTTCATTTAACATGAATAACATTTAAATGAGAAAGAAAAATAAGAGGAAAAATATTATCGACAGATAGAGAGAGGGTGGGTTGTGGAAAGAGGGGGTTGGGAAGACGAAGAGAGACACCAGTCATCGTTCTTTAATATTCTCGAAGTATTGTTTAAACATTTTTCATAAGAATATTAATTATTCAATTAGATCTTGCGCTTGCTAAGCTGGTGAACATTTTTTTTATGAATGAAACGAATCATGCTTAAAAGTCTTTTGTTATTTTCTTTTAAGAATTATTTGTAGAGAACAAGAGGGGTTGTTGGTTTATATTTTTTCAACCTTCAAAAGTCATCTTTGTTACTTGATATTTCTAACAGACTTAATGATTTATAATAAAATAAAAATAAAAAGAATAATATAACAAATAATTGAAACCTCTCTATTAAATAAAATAACAAAATTCAAAGTTCGAAGGCAAAAAAAATACATATAATATACTAAAAAATACTACACCTAATTGTAAATAATCGATTCGAACCAGTTAAAAAAGGGGTCCACTTATAATATACCAAGAGAAATAAAAAAAAGAAAGGTGAACCTATAATTAGGTAATTCGTCGTAGTTTCCGTGTTAGGTACGATCAAAAACTGCCAGTCCCGGAAGAGGTGATAGGTCGTTCTTTTTACGCAAGGGAGACCTACGGTTATAAAGGGTAACGTCGTTGCATCAGAGAACAGGTGTAACTTTTAAAAAGGGTGGCGGAAGGGGGAGGGGTGTTCTCTGTTAGACGGAAAGAAATATTGTACATAGTGAAAGAGAAGTTAGCGAAGGAAAGAAAAGGAAAGGAAAGGAAGGGAAGGGAAAGGGGTTAGCGGGAAGGGGGGGGGAGTAGTCGATGTACCTGTACAACACAATGGACTTCAGTAATAGGGGAGATCGTTCCGCGTGATCGATCGATCATGCTGATCTTGGTTGACACTCCCCGAACATTTTATGACAACCCAACCGTGTGTCCTCTTCGATTTTATGTTACTTTCTCTTCATCTGGGTATATCATCTCATGTTTGTAAATCTTTTTTTTTTTTTTTTTACCATCCTATTGTTCTATTTTCGTAAGATTATTACGAGATTAAATTATAGGAGTTAAAGATATATATTTGACTTCTGTGTATAATGTTTTATTGTATAATAGTTAGAGAATAGAACTATAAATATTATATTATATATTGTGTAAGGGTTGTTCGAAAAGTAATTTCGTTTAGTTACGTTTATTCCCCCCCCCCCCCCTGCACCTACCCGTACTTCTCGTGTACTAACAAAACCTTACTCCATATCTCAAATTCGTTTGACATTCTAACAATAGACACTTCAGACGTAATTTAGAACCTTCTTGTGTTTCGATCCGTCTAGTAGTTTATTTTTCTTGATTTTTTTTGCTATCGCATCAGAAATAAAAAATCGAAGAAGTCAGCGTCGTCGATTCGTCTGGAGAGTAGATTTTCTTCTTCATTTTTGCTATCGCAATCAGAAATGGAAAATCAAATTCAGCATTTATCGTGTTTGATTTAGCATTTTTTATTATCGTAAAAAACGTAACAACAATTTTGCAATGCATGCAAAAAATTGAAAAATTACGACGCGTGCGTTATTTTTGTACGATAGAAAAGGAGATTCGTTTGAGTGACGAAACAGTGTCAATGTCAGCGTTAAAATAAGTTTCGTTTATATTTCGTTTTGTTAATTTTGATTTTTGAAAAATGCGCGCACTAATACCACCACCACCCATGACGATCGTTTAGGTCAAAAAATTAAAGGGACCGGTTTATTTATCAAAATTTAGATCGTTTAAAATATTATCTTGGATAGAAACAAAATGTATATATATATAAAAAAATTTGTCTTATTTATCTTTCGAACGGTATAATATTTATAAGAAAATAAAAAAAGAAATGTTGTACGAAATAAGAATCGTAAATTTAAAATTATAAGAGGAGAAGAAGAAAACTTAAGTGAAAAATGAGTTATCTCGATAAGAAAAATAACAAATCAGTACACACCCTAGATAGGAAAGAATGAAATCGAGGGTTAAGTCGATCTGAGTCTAACGATAAAATCGAAGGGTGAGAGAGGACAGAAGTGGGGAGGGGTGGTTAAACTTATTCGTCACGTTTACGCGCTTGATCTAACTCTCCTAGAATAAAATAAATAACATTTTATCTCGTAGTAGTGATTTTACCTTAAAAAAAAAAAACGTATACACAAAGTTCTTAAAACGCGAAAAAAATAATACAATACTTAAAAAAAAAAACAAAACGATTATACATTTAATATTATTTCATTAAATAATCATTGTGTTTAAATAATTATGATATTCGAAAGACAAATAAAAAGAATTTCTCCTCCTAACAATTTTTCTCACACCTTTCTCCAAAATTTGAAAGAAAAAAATAGCAGAAAAACACATACAAAGTCGCGTTAGGAATGTCGCAATAAAATCTTCGCGTGGGAGTTTCAAAGTTTCGTAAATTTATGGTACAAGAAGACCGAGTGTATCATGCGTATGTGTGTGTGTATATATATATATATATGCAAAAATAAAAAGAGAAAGGGATTTTAGCGCCAGCTCTTCTTCTTCCTTCTTTTCGAGTTAGTGTCGGCGGTGTTTAGTAAAAGAGGAAATAAGAGAGAGATAAAGAAAAAGAAAAAAGAAAAGAAAGATAGAGGAAAGGTAAGAAAGAAAGAAAAAAAAAAACGATGAACTTTCCTTAATAGCCTTTCGTTTATCTCGCGTCTCTCTTTTGAATATCAAAGGTGCATACGGCGCTTGATTCTGTCACGTTACGAGCTCAAACGATATATGAACAGGCTAAGAAACGAGAAAGAGTAAAGGAGAGTGTAAGAGAATGAAAAAGAAAGAGAGAGAGAGAGAGAGAGAGAGAGAGGCACACGAGAAACTCGTGATCTGCTCAACGATTATCAACGTGTGTAATATGTGTGTGTGTGTTTGTGAGTATGCACGTTTATGCATATACACATATAACAGCGCCATTTCTTGGCACGAAAATTATTACGAGTGAGGTCATTAAACTTACGGAACGTTCGCAAAATGCGTAGACGCCGGCAAGATATTGACTGTAAATCCTTTACCGGGTTAGCCTTTTCGTTACGCCACTAAAATCACTGGAATTTTCTTTCTCTTTCTCTCTCTCTCTCTTTTTGCTGCCTCTATTACTCTCTAACGTAGTTTAAACACAACCGCGAAAACGTATTACTAATAATGAAATTATGATTTTATATTCTCACAATCCGAAAAAGTTTTATTGTAATGAATGAGAAGAAAATATCATCATTTTTTTTTTGGTATATGTTGAATTTGTACATCTTAACAAACGCGTACAATTTTTTTTCTATCATTTTATTTCCTACGAGATTTTATTTATTTATTTCCTTTTCGTCGATTCGGCATATTTATTTGAAATTATTTTTCACGCCAATTATTATTCTATTATGTTCGTGAGTATATTTAACATTCGTAAATTTGTTTTTCTCTTTCTTATTTAGTCACGCAAAAGCTGTAAAAAAAAAAAAAAAAAGACAACAAGAAGTTCGAATTATGAATTTTTTTAAATCGGACTTCATGTCTTGTTAAAAACGATACTTTTAATAAGGTCAAAAAATTACAAAATATATTTTATAATTGAAATTAAAATAAACGTGCATCATTATCGTAAGCATTGAGAAACATAATATTAAATTATTCTCTTTGGATGAGTGAAATTTTGAAAATTCAACGCACGAGATTCTTCTCGTTTTCTTCTTCTTTTTTTTCTATTTGTTCTGCACACCCAGTTGTTCTGACCTTGCTCACATTTTTTCTCTCTTTCTCTCTCTCTCTTTTTTTTCTATTATATATTAATATTATCATTATTAGAATTTTCCCGTAGGATATGAGCGAAGGTGTTATCGTTTATGCTGCGTGTACCGTAGACGTGTCACCAGTTTTATTATTGCGCTTTATGACGTTTAGTCGAGCATGAAAAGTAAATCAACGTCGGGTCCAGGCCATATAACGTCGTATTTCTCTGTGTGTGTGTGTGTGTCTGTATTCATGTAGTGAAATACGTGGACGTATGTAGAAAACCATATGTTTGTAGAGGAATATTGTATAATATATACGCACACAACACAACACCACAACCGGGGTCACGCACACTTTACTTCACGGCCTTTTCTTGTAGGCGCTTCACGGACGATATAATACCACAAGTTTCCTACGAAATTCTATTTAAATCTTTATCTTTATCTCTACCTCTCTCTCACACTCTTTCTTCCGTTTTTTTTTTGGTTTTGTATTACGAAAAAATTGGGAAATTTCTTTATTTTCTTTACTTTCTTTTTAATGAAGATCTTGTAATAAAGATTGGACCATTATCTTGACTATAATTTTACGTTATATAAATTAATTATAATAGAAAAATGATTGGAATATTTAAAAGCGTGTTTTTCAATTTGGAATATATACGCGTCACGAGATATTTTTCTTTTCCTTCTTAATTTGAACAGGAAACAAAATGTCTTTTTTTCTTTTTTTTTTTCTTCATTTTGACCTTTCGTATATATTCTTGTTTAATATGAAAATTAAACAAAAAAAATATTGTGCATAACTTTTATAAAAATATATTTGATATTACGATATATTTCTGTATTGAAAAAAAAAAAAAAAAAATAAAATAAGCACGTAGAGAAAAATATTAAGAAATAATTAAATCATTTATAAGTAAATCAAGTTATTGCTAAAAGTAATCGAACAAAACGTGTAGATATAAGAAAAAAAAAACAAGATGAAAAATCATCTTCTAGGTTTTTCGATCGAATTTAACAATAGTAGTTCGATTTAAACGACATCTTTTATAAATCGATCATCTCTTTTTCTGTTGCAGGTAAATAAGGAACAAGGAAAAGTGGCATTTCTATCAACACAAAGTCTTCTTTCTTTTTTTTTTATTCTCTTCCTCCTTGCTGGAAGAACGTGTCAAGTTAAAAAAGAAGTGAAAGGAAAAGTACTTTTCTACTTTTCTTTTTTTCCTTTTTGTCAACGGGATGGCAGACGCTTTTCTTTGTGCTCCATCTTCTTTGTTGCAAGTAATAGTAATAGTAATAGTAGTAGTAGTAGTAGTAGTAGATGTCTTCGTCTTAGCGTAGGTGGTGTGTCGGTTTGAGCTGAGTTAAAGCGGATTTTATCGCATAGCGTGCCGACTTTTATCGAAAATGCCGTTCTCGTCGTCCTTAACACCCCGTTGGGGACGAAGAAGCCGTGATTTATACGAGGGTGATCGTCCGTCGTAAGCCTCTCGCGTTAGAATCGATCGAAGCACGCGAGCTTCGAGGGTGGGTGGTAGTAGTAGTGGTAGGCATAATAGTAGTAGTGCTGGTGGACACGTGAACGACCAACTGAGAGTCAAAGAAAGAAAGAAAGTGAGTGAGAAAGGGATAAAAAGATTGAGGGTGGGTTCTGGTCACGTCGCTACGGAATTAGATCGTTCGGAGTATTTTTTTCTCTCTCTCTCCCTCTCCCTCTCTCTCATTCTTCCAATCGAGATTTCGGGGAAACAATTTACGCGAATCGTGTTCGGGAGAATTAGCTTTGATTAACCACCGAAATAATCGTATTTTCATTAGGGAACCTACTCTACTCTACTACTGTGCCGCTTGTTTTCCATCATCTAGTTAAATATTTGCGAAATACAAGCGCAACAGTAGGATGATGATGAGGGGGAGGAAAAAGAGGAGGTGGAGGAGGATTGTTCGTTTGGCATCTAGGAAAATGATAAGCGTAGCTCGCGCTTGCTTTGATTAATTTAACTATTTATAATCGCTTTGAAGTGGCCGATAAGAAAGCGTTACAAACTCTCGTAATATTTTACAAGCGGCGGCCTAATTAAAAAATGTTCGCGCTTTGTCTTTCGATAGCTTTCAGGGTGATATAGATAAAGAAAAAAAGATAGAGAGATAGAGAGAGATCAAATATTTGTATTAACAATAATGAGATTTAATGTAAGAAAATTTAGATTTATTTTATGCATTGTGCGAAAATAATACGTAATAATATAACTTCAAGTAGAAAATCGAGTTTGCGTATCGTTAATAGTCAATGACGAATGATAAATACGTGAGACGAGGATAAAAAGATAAAGATAACAAAAAATAATAATAAAAAGATTGGCATTCGTAAGAATGAAAAAAAAAAAAAAAAGAATCTTTCGATGTGTGTACTACGCCAGTGTAATTGCAAGAGACAAACGGCAACGACCGACTTCAAGGTAGCAAAGCAAGCAACCAGTGTGTAGAGCTTATGTAAGTTGTTTGGAGGTCTGTACATACTCTAGAAACCAAGTAGGTGCAACATATGTGGATAGTAGTTAAATTGTATGTGTGTATATGTGTGTTAGAAAAAGAGAGAGAGAGAGAGAGACATAGTTTATTTATGAAAGAGAGCGAAAAAGATTGAACGAGTTTACGTTAACCATGCACATCCACGTACTTCTTGGCTATTCATTTCTTCTACCTTCTCCCCCTCACGCCCCCCCACCCTCACTCACCAAACGATTCTTTAAGAATCAAGTCGATAAACGTAGTTTATGCAAAATTCTGATTTATCGTTTTGCCGTCATGTAGGTTAGTTATTTATAAACGACAAAGTACCTTGATATTCTTAGTGTTGAGAGAGAGAGTCTCTCTCGGTATTTTGCCGTATGATTCTATACTTTATCTTTAATGATATAGCAACTTTTGTATCTGACGTTATATCTTGTGAAAAATTCTTTCTCTCTCTCTCTGTGTCTCTCTCTCTACATAATTAGCTGTGAATTATAATTACATTTAACAGCATAACGATTTAACTGTATACCTGATTTAATTATATAATAAGAAACTACAAAAAAGAAAAAAAGAAAAAAATTCCGGTCAGCATCGTTAACAGGAATAATTAAGCGTAGGAATGCTGCTGGTGGTTTTGCGCATATTTTTGTTGAGATAATAGACGAAGAGAAACAATACGCGCTCTAATAGGGTAATACACACTACATACATGCGTGTGACGAACACATACATACATATATACACTTATATACACATACAAGTATCTAGCGAAGAACGATTTTCGTAGCGTTAATAGCTTTCACGCTAGAAACACACGTCGTGGTTTAATTTACAGGAAATCCTTGAGTGGCCATCGATTTCCATTTAACCAGGGTGATCCTCGTTCTCGTAAATGCTAGCCGAACCTAACCCCACCGGTGGTGGTCTAATTACTTCGCGTGTACTGCGAGATGCGATTTACGTGAACCGCAATATTCTCTATCTCTCTCTCTCTCACACACACACACACACACACTCTCTCTCTCTATCTTGTCTCTCATACATATATGCGCGCGCGTGAACACACGTGTTATATGGAACCACGCACTCACATATAGACGCCTGTTACATGCACGTTCTGATTCGTATGTGTCCTCTCTTTAGAGTTTCGTTACTCTCATAGAGATTCTCTCAAGGTTGTTGTTGCATCTTTCAGTCAAACAGTTAATTGAAATTTTATCGTCTTTCTCACGACATGCGAAAGATTAAATTCCGCATATCCTTCCTTTACTATACTCACCTTTCTTCGTTTTCTTTTTTTTTTAATTACTCTTTTAAGGTTTAACGATAATTTGCAAACACTGTTTTGCATTCCAGAGTGTGTAGTAGAGATACTTCTTCAACAACCTACGTATTTTCAGTTTTAAATTGTCCCTATGTAATTTTATGCTACAATGATTTCAACGTAGAAGGGTAAATGTTAAATGTTCGTTTTTTTTTTAAGTTCAAGATTTCACTCTCTCTTTCTCGAAAATTTAAATTCGCTAAAATTTGGGAATTTTTGTTTCTTTATGTTTTTCTGTTTTGTATTTGTATTGCTTAGTTTTTTCTTTGTTTTCTTTTGAAGGTGGTGTGGATTAAATGGAACCAATCGAACGAGAGAAAAGTGTTCGACATTTTATAGTTAAATTTCACGAACTTTTGTCCTCTTCCTTAGGTTTTCTCTCAACTCTCTTTTAATTTCTACCCTCCCAAAGGTCTTTATTACCTTCCAACGTAAACGACTTCTCGATGTCCTTTCGACGACTTTTATTCGACGAACTTTCGATTTGAAAATGAAGGTGGAGGAGGAGGAGGAGGAGGAAGGGGGACGACCTCGTTGATTCTCCTTAAGGATCCGCGGAGACCCTTTGAGTCGAGTGCATTTAAATGCAAATACACTTTTTTACTTATATTTATATGCAAATATATTTTTCAACGTAGTAAGAAGATCGTAATGACGTACTCACGCACCTGTGTGTCCCGTTTATTTGTTTGTTTATGTATGTGTGTATGTATATATGCATACGAGGTGTGTTTAAATTTTTATTCACAAATACCAATCGAAAATTTCGTGAAAGCCAGCACTGCAGTTGTGCATTGATAATATTATCGGTAACTGAGTCTGTGTGTGTGTGTGTGTGTGTTAATATTTGCACGCGAGAGAGAAAATGAAATCGAGCTCTTTTTGCCTGTTTGGTTCCTTCATTAACAGAGAAAATCCGAACGTTCATTTTATTCAAACCCCGAATCCCCGTTATTCCTGGACTTTAAATGGGATTCTTTTCTTTCGCGGTAGCGTGTGCAACAGACATAACTTCGCGTATTCGATGTTAATTGTTAGGGTTTTTTAATTAACCGAATGAGATGACCATTTTGTTTGTTCTTCTTTTTTTTTCGTTTTGTATTATTTTTAAAATACAATACCGAAGATAATTGTTTAATTTATTCGCCAAAAATGTCATTTGGTTCGTCGAAATTGAAACATTTGTTCTGGTTAATTTATAATAACCATTCGATATTTCTCGCATTTTGTTGACAATCGAATCCTAAAGACAAAATAATACATTTGCATTATTAAGTCTAATCGTCTACGGCTAAATCCTTTCAAGAACGACTCTGATACTCGCGTTTTAAATTAAACTAAAGCTCAAAAGGAATAGGAAGAGTAAGAAAAAGAGATAGGAAGGAGGGGTTGTGAGTTGAAAAATTGTCAGGAGCAGCACTAGTTTCGATCTGATACGAATTCTTCTCCTTTTTTACGATAGATTATAATATAATCAGATATTTGATAGTTTATATCCCGTTTTGTTCGTTACTTTAAATTATTCATTAACTTTATTCTTAACCCTTTGAATTTAAAATTCATCTAACAATTGCAATCGACAAGAACGGAATGATTTTTCTCTTACAATTAATGTTCAACTATTTTGATAAAACAAACCAAAAAAAAAAAGGAATAAAATTTCCTTAGTCTTGCGAATTGTTTTCTTTGAACGCATATATATGCGTTCACAGTATTCAAAGAGTTAATTCCTTCTACTTTCTTCAACTTCATTATCTTCGATGATTCGAGCCACCAAAGTATTTATCGGACTTATTCGATGAAAAATAAATAAAGAAAGAAAGAAAAGGAGAAAAACAATTCGTTCACTGAGCTGTTTGTTCTTGACACATTTCATCCTGGTTGCCGACAAGAAGAGACCTCGACAGAGAGTCTGTCTTTCTTTCTCAACGTTTTCTATTTCTCGCCCTCGAATTTATTTCTCCCTTTCTCTCACTCACCCATTCTCTGTTTCTCACGAGAACGACAAGAACAAAGAAAGAGAGATAGAGATAGATAGATAGATAGAGTTAGGGGAGAAGAAGAAGAAGAAGAGAGTATCTGTAATCGGAAAGTTGTCAGGCGCACATCGTGGTACCCTAATGGAATTTGAATGTCGTTAGTCGGACTAACGGGCCGTGAGGCCAGGATACGACCTTATCCCGTTCCATGTCATTCTCTCTCTCTCTCTCTCTTTCTCTTTCTCTATCTATTTCTCTTTCTCTTCTCTAGTTCTCTTATCTCTCTTCGTCTCGTTAAAGGGCTCGTCGTCGTTTCGCCCTTCGGAATAAACTTTCATCTAGGTTGGTAAGTTTATTGGGGCGCGAAAATGGCCTCTCTCTCTCTCTCTCTCTCTCTCTCTCTCTCTCTTTCTCTCTCTCTCTCTCTCTCTCTCTCTCTTTCCTCTCCTCTCCTGTTCTCTCCTNTCTCTCTCTCTCTCTCTCTCTCTCTCTCTTTCCTCTCCTCTCCTGTTCCTATCAACTTTGAGAATTCGAAGTGTCGATTGATGATCTATTACTTTAAGGACAAAGGCAGACACACGCTCCTCCTCCTTCCTCCCACTCCTATATTGATTTTTTTTTTCTTTGGAAATGTAAAATTTGTTAAATTAACTTTCATAGGATTTTTATATCTATGTACGACAATTCGAATATCCTCGATAAAATAATACGAAGTTACAAGGCTTATTATAATAATCTAGCTTCTTTTTTTTTTCTTTCCTTTTTTTTTTTTGTTAAAAGGATTAACTTGTTATTTGAAGAAGAATCTAAAAAGAAAAAGAAAAAGAATAGAAAAGGCACACCGTGGTTGGTTTGTTGTTAAAGCCTTTTCTATAAAAGACAAGAAATTTCTTCTTCGTTCGAGTCAACTCAACCAACCAACCACCGTCAATTTGACATTTCAGAAACCGCGACGGTCGGTCACGTTTAAAGTTTATGCTCGGGGAACCTTAATTCTCTCTTTCTCTTTTTCTCGATTTATCGGTTTATCCAGTTCTCTCTCTCTCTCTCTCTCTTTCTCTCTTCTTTCTCTTCCTTTCTCTTTTCCTCTTTCATTCCTTCATTGTTCGTTCTCGGGAAAGGCGACGGCTGGTTGGTCGGTTCGCGTTCGTGAAATTCGAGCGACGATGAGTGATTCAGACCCCCCCCCCTGCCCCCTTCTCTACCCTAAGGTTGGTTCCTTCGGATTGTCTCGTGCATGTTCGACGTCCTATTTCTCTTTCATCGATTATGCAGTCGAATTTATATTTATGAACCATCGCACGTTGCCTACCTCACGGGAATCTTCATTCTAATAATAGTATACCCACCACTAGTATGAGTTTTGGATCGTTGCGGTAATAATCCGTTCCTTGATCCTATATCCTTGGTATATATGCATCTTCTTCGCTTATTAATCCTTCTACCAACCGGGGCAATTGAACTTTTCTATTACAACGAAATCCTTATTAGTAAAGTTTATCCTTATTATAGATTGATACCTTTATTAACCCTTTCCACTCGAAGTTCTGGGGTTTTTTCCTTTTTTCATTTTATTACTAACAAAAATCATATTCACATATTATATAAGTAAATGTCATATTTGGTACGTTGTAGACTAGACTTTTTCTTTTATTGTCTCCATATGGGAACCCTCGAGTGTAAATCTATAATCTTTAATCTAATAATCTTTATTTCGATATTAATTGAATGCACTCAATTAAACAGAACTTTTTGTATCTTAATATTTTCTTAAAATGAAAAAGAATAATCTACTAATTTAAACCACCACCTCGTTACGAACGAACGAATAGAATTCCTTTCTTTCTTTAACACGTAGTTTTGTTGTCCGCATATGTTCGCAAGTGTGTTAACGCGATTTTTCTTCCCGTTATTTCTCCGAGTGAGAACGAACGGCAGGCGGTCGGGTTGGCGGGGGGTGGGAGGTGGGGCAGTGGCACGTTGTTCATCGATGTTCTTTCAGAAAGAGAGAGGAGAAGAGAAAGAGGGCTAACTGTCTGGTTGGTTGGTTGGTTAGTTGGATGACTGGCTGGCTGGCTGACTGACTGACTGACTGGTTGTTCGTTCGTTCGATCGTGGCTTCTTCCCACGAAGAAAGAAACGAAAGAACGACGTTTCGTGATGCGAAAAACTCGTCTGGTGTCTTCGCGCCACCACCACCACCCAGTTTGCTTGTTTCCCTTTTTCTTAAGCTTCCCTTTAACACCCTACCAATCCTCCTACTACCGTTAATGGTTCTCACACGAAGAGTTACTTTAACTTTTCTCAACAATCATCGGCTGGGCTCTGTTACACGATCAAAGAAAAAATATATTTCTTACAACTTTATCTTTGTTTCTTTTTTGTTTTTGTTTTTATTTCTCTTCTTTTTATAGTTAATGATGCAAAAAAAAAAGAATGCAAAAACTCTGCATCTATTTAGTTAGACATCGTGTTCTTCTGGCGTTCATATATAATGCGCGTATATCGTATGTTGCAAAATGTTATACGCGTAACGTCGTTGGCTCGTTATGGCGTAGATTACGCGACGATCTACAGCTCGAGGGGCTTTTCATTGTCGATTGGGAACGTCGGATTAAAAAACTCTGATGAAACGATATGCGATATATATATATAATACACGTTACAACGGATCACATATGTTTATTCGATGAACGTGTTTTATTCATTTGGGTTCGATTTCTCAAGCTTTTGTTGTATTTTACACCATTGTGATATTGGACAATAGTCACGCATGCATCTATTAATATATCATCATAATTTATTCATTTACATAAGCTTTCATTACAAATATTTATAATATATATACGTATCAAAAACTCCGGTTAAAAAAAAAAAGAAAAAGAAAACCCAGTTTCACCCGATCGTAAAAGAAAATAATAAATCAATATTATTCGAGAGATCTCTGCTACTTT